TCACAAAACCGTGTTGACTATCCCTAATCAAATTATTCCTTTCTAGATGATTATAAATCCTATCTCTTATAATCCTTTCCAACACTTTACCCACAACCGAAGTAAGGCTTGGAAATGCATCATGTTCTTTGACTGTTGCAGGGCCAAATTTGTTTAATCATCTGTTTCTAACTGGAGACTAACTAACACATTTGATTAATTGCAGGATGTCATCTTCAATTAAATGTTAGGCGCATAATTAATTTTATTACCTTACTTCAGTCAAAATAAATTGTAACTATTCAGAAGATAGAAACATAGAAGATAGGAGCATGAGGAGGGCATTTGGCCCTTTTGAGCTTGCTCCGCCGTTCATCACAAGCATGGCTGATCATTCAAATCAATAGCCTAATCCTGCTTTCTCCCCATAACCTTTGATCCCATTTACCCCAAGTGCTATATCTAGCTGCCTCTTGAATACGTTCAATGTTTTAGCATCAACTACTTCCTGTGGTAATGAATTCCGCAGGCTCACCACTCTTTGGGTGAAGAAATGTCTCCTCATCTCCGTCCTAAATCGTCTACCCCGAATCCTCAGACTGTGACCCCTGGTTGAACACACCTACCATCAGGAACACCCTCCCTGCAATTATCCTGTCTAGTCCTGTTAGAATTTTATAAGTCTCTATGAGATCGCACCTCATTCATCTGAATTCCAGCGAAAACAATCCTAACCTAGTCAATATCTCCTCATATGTCAGTCCTGCTATCCCTAGAATCGGCCTGGTAAACCTTCATTGCACTCCCTTGAGAGCAAGAGCACCCTTCCTCAGAAAAGGAGACCAAAACTGCACTCAATATTCTAGGTGTAGCCTCACCAATGCCTGTATAACTGCAACAACACATCCCTGCTCTTGATCAAGTTCTATTGAAATTCATTACCCAAGCCATCTTACTGGTATCTGAAGACATTTGCTTATTTTCCCTATTAGTCCCAATGCCTCAAGCAGTGGCCAGGCTATCAAATGCAGTTTTATTGAAATATTCATAGACAAAGATACAAAAATCTCAAAGAGAAGCTTTCTAGTTATTAGTCTTACCTGAACATCAGCAAAAAGAGTGAACTTGATTCCTTTCGACCCCTCCACCATTCAATGCAAACAGGACTGACCCTTATTCCATATCGCTCGAAGCTCTTAACAAAAATCTAACACTGTAGTTTTAAAATGTATAATTGGTCCTCGGTATCCATAACTTGTTGGAGCAGCAAGTTCTACATTTTAATTCTCCATATTGCTGTCACACTGACATTTCTGTCATCGGCTCAATGCACTCTTCCAATGACACTAAACGTCATCTCCAAAAAAGCAGCTCACCTTTGTAATTGTACCAGCCTCCACCACTTCCTCTGGCAGCTCATTCCATAAACGCACCACCCTCTGTGGAAAAATTTACCCCTCAGATCTTTTTTAAATCTGTCCCCTCTCACCTTAAACCAATGCCATCTAGTTTTGGACTCCCATACCCAGGGAGAACACCTTGGCTATTCACCCTATCCATGCCCCTCATGATTTTATAAACCTCTTCAAGGTCACCCCTCGGCCTCCGACGCTCCAGGGAAAAAAGGCCCCAGCCTTTAGGTTCCATTCAGGTTTCTAATGAAACATTCCTGATCTGGAATTTTCAAACAAGTATCCTTACACTGAAGTAACCTATTTCTGAACTGTTCTCAACGAACTACCTTCTCCAGAAGAAACTGTTTTGATGTCTGACCCCAGCCAAGCCTTCTGTGAAATGAAAACCAAAGCCTTTCCAAGCTGAGTTTTTTTTCAAAGCAGAAATCAATTCTCGATTTCCCTAGATCAAAAGCAAGCTGATGCCTTTGCTATCTCTGATTGCACTGTGAGCGGTTTACAATCCTGTTATCACTCCAGGAAGGCCCCGGTTACCTGCTCTTTGACACAAACCGGTTTAAAATCAGGGCTCCAGGAAGACTGACAAGTTAATTATTAAATCCTTTCATACAATTAGACCAAATTCCATATACCACAATTTCAAAATCTAAACTCTAAAATAAATGGCATTAATTTCCATAAATCTCACACCTTGCATCTCTCCATTGGAGGTGCATTTCAGAAGATGGCTCGTGTACGGAACTTCCTATTCATAAGGATTAATGTGGGAAAAATATGGGGATGCTTCAAGTATTAGCCCCCAAAAAAGGTATTGATAGGCAACTCTCACTTCTCCCCGGTTCAAAATGGATGTACACCTTTATATGGCACACTAAGTCAAAAAGTGAAATTTAGAATTTGCCCCATCAATGAGGAAGTTTGATGCTGGAAATGGAAATTTGCCAACTTATTGAATTTAATGCTCATGTTAAGCTTTCTAATTAAGTTTCGGCTTTGGTTCAGATGAAAGCTTCCTTTACACCGACCGCATGTTCTAACCTCAGCATCCAGTGTTGGAGCATCCTTTTGCACTGCATTAATGTGGCATTTCAACTGCCTCAAGTAGGCGTGCATAAGGTTGTCTTGATTGAAAGCAATTGTTAAAGGAAACTGAGCACAAAATGACTCCATAGGAATTGCACCTGTGTACAGTGCAGTGGTTCTACCCAAACAGTTCATATAATCCCTACAGTGTGGAAACAGGCTATTCGGCCCAACAAGTCCACACCAACTCTCCGAAGAGCATCCCACCTTCCTCACCCTCACCCCCACCCCCCCTGTATTTCCCATAGCTAATCCTCCTAACCTACACATCCCTGGGCACTACGGGAAATTTAGCATGGCTGATCACCTAACTTGCACGTGTTTGGACTGTGGGAGGAGAACGGAGCACCCAGAGCAAACCAACGCGGACACAGGGAGAATGTGCACACTCCACACAGACAGTCGCCCGAGGCTGGAATTGAACCCGGGTCCCTGGCGCTGTGCAGCAGCACTCCATGCGATTACTTTCTGACTCTCGCACCCAAAATGGGTATCTATTAAATAACTAAGCAGGTTATTCATTTGCTTGTCTTGGGACAGTAAGGCAGAGGCATTTACAATTAAACTACATTTGCCCACAGATCTATAGAGTGAAATGATCTAGGCTAGATTTAAACACTGGTTCTTTTTGAAAGGATTGAGTTCTTGATGCCAGTGTGACACCCCAGAATTGTAATTTTCAGAACTATCTAAATTTCAGTCCTTGCTTCCCTTCCCTTCTCTTCTCATGCAGGTGAAGAAGGCTTTCTTTGCTCTGGTTTCAAATGGAGTCCGTGCTGCCCCACTCTGGGATAGCAAAACACAAAGCTTTGTGGGTAAGTTCTATTGATCCTGCAGCGCGTTTTTCCCCAATTAATTGTATGGAAGCTTTTACTGTGGAAATAATTAAACTACTCCAATTATAGCAACCAACTCTTACAAATAGTGAATTTTGTAATAATTGTGTTGCTGCTTCAAAATTGACAAACCTCTCAATCACTGCAGACCTTGACTGATGCCTGCTGGCAAATGATCCAGCATCTAGGCAAGCTGGCATGGCTATAACTGCCAGCTGCAAGGTATGCTATTCTTTGGTTCCGGAAAGTATAACCCTCCTCATGACAAGGATGGAAGTAGAATGTCTGAGAGATAGCTATCACAAGTGAATGATGTATGTACTTAACCTGGAGCGTCATCATCTATAGCCCATTTTCCAAAAGCCTGTCCATGAGTTGGCAACCACCATACAGACCCAAAACTACCTCCAAAGGTCAGCGTTGGATAACAAATTGTCTTGTCACCCAATAATGCTGAGCACCACTCTGTAGTCTCTAGCATGTATACAGTCAAACCAACAACCCAAAATGTATCCATTTTCTTTTGTATGGATTCTGAGGCAAAAGGTAATTGCAGAACTTACTGATTTATTCCTGTTAAAGAAAAACATTGCTCCCCTTAAAAAGTGGTAACATGGACAGCCTGGACTGGTTGAGCTGAATAGCCAGTTTCTATGTACATGATTTACTTTGTAAACCACCTCTACTGATGAACGATTGAGGCTAAATGTGAAGATTAAATAGTGACACATGGTGTAGGAACTCACAGCAAAACTAGTTATTTTTGAAAGGCTATGCTCTGAACTTGTGGTTAGGAAGTTATTAAATTGTTGAGATAAGTCAATTAAATTGTGCAGAACTAGGAGCTTCTGGTTAAACAGGCAATTTGTTCTAGAGGTTGATGAGCGATAGCTCGTAATAGGATGAAAAATCAATGGTTCCTTCATTGCATTCCTGGATTCAAATGTTACCATTACCATGATTTTCCTACCCAGTTGTGCCTTGCCAGAATTTGTTATTGGCTTGCTGTTGGCACAATGTGCACTGAGGATTGTGTTTGAATTGCTGCACCATTTCTGGCTTGTGCTTTGCCAGGATATGACTCACCAAATGTCAGGTTCATAAACAGGGGATGTGGTCTGCTAAGCTTTAGATGTTTTTTTTTCCAAAATGATCAGCAAGTAGGCCAGGAATGTCTTGGGTTTGAGCTGCAGTTGTCGGTACTGAGTTAACTAAACTCTTGATTTCCAGCTACGAAACTGATAGTTTGAATCAAAAAATTTGCTTGTGTGCAGGAAGTTTAAATTACACAAAAAATCCATGATTTTTTTTTGGTCGCTGTCCTGTTCAATGCAGTTCTGTGCCAAGCGATAGACCTTCCTTTTCCCACGGGTGAGTGGATGTGAAGATAGGTTTTCAATGCCACCTTTCATACTGTCCCAATAAGAGCAAGATCTGTTCCATTTTCACAGCAATACAAAGGGGGCAGTCATGGTTTCAGTGCCCTTCTCTTTGTTGCAAATCCAAGCTTTCTGCTGTGCATGTGTGAAGCAAAGTGTTGCTCATGCCAGCACACTTGTGATGATCAAAGAGGGGTCTAGATAGTCGCTTCTTTTTGGTCATTAGAATGTAACTAGTGCTGCCACAGATTAATGTTGTTCAAACATTAGAAACTTGTTTGTTTTGGCAGGGTTTTGCAACACCACACTTTCCAGGTGTCTGTGCTGGCAATGTAGGAATTTGCACTTTCCCATTATGTGCAGCACTTTTGTGTTTGGTTTGCGCTCAGGAAGAGTCCAAATATGCAGAATTAAAGCAGCAGGACTCTTGATCTGTATGAGATGGCTTGCTTGCAGGAATGAATTGGTACAAGAAGTGTGTTCACCATGCTGCACAATGATGTATCATTAGGCTCTGAACAGTTAGAGTTACCTTGATTGCAATTTTATTTATCTGTGAATCAGTTGTAAAATGTCATTGAAACAAGCCAATGGTTGTTTATTCATGTTCATCCATCATGTTGGGCAAGAGATTGCCCCTTTTTAATGTAATGCTTGCAAATTAAAGTTAATTTAAATAATTAATATATATTGGAAGGAAATAATCTTTTCATTTTGACTGGTCTTCTGTTCTGTTGCAGGCATGCTCACAATCACAGATTTCATTAATATTTTACACAGATACTACAAGTCGCCGCTGGTACGTTTGCTCTTTGTGTGCATGTGTGTAAGCTGGGCTGCAGTTAATCTTAAATACTGTGGTATTAAGAACGACTTCTGGTGATCAAAGGGAACACTTGTAGTAAACTGATGCTAAACTAGAGTCACAGCCTGCCTTATCTCTTTCTCAGTGGAGAGCTATTTTCAGCTGCACCACTGTGCAAATATTGTCCAGTTTATCCCCAGGTTTTCACTTCACCTGCCTTGAAGGTTCTTGTGCTGGGATGCACTTCCATAAGCAGTACCCACCCATTGATAGCTGGGACCATGTGGTTAAGGTATGCCTCCCCTTATCCCTGGGGTGAGGCCAAGGCTAATTGTAGCTGCCCTCCTTCTGGTTTTGCTAAGGTAAGGTATCTTACAGACACCATTTTCTTGGTCCCATGGTATTTCCCTCAATACTGAAGACAGAGGAGACTGACCTGCATTTAAGCAACCCTGTCTGGGGGATGTAAAAGATCCTGTGGCACTATTTTGAAGAAGTGGGGGAGGGCAGTTCTTCCCAGTGCCTTGGTCAATATTTAACCCTCAACCAGCATCAGTGAAACACCTTATCCAGTCAGCATCACGTTGCTGTTTGTGGGAGCTTGCAGTGCACGTCACAAAAGGTGCTACAGAAATGCATGTTTCTTTTTAGTTCCAATGAGTCTGCTATTTGATTGTAGAAGTACTTTGTGTGACGATTCCCATAGTTTAATTTGCATTAAGATGAGTGGGGAAGAGTGCACAGAAGTGGGCTGGTGGGACAGCAGCAGCTTACCGATTTAGCTTCTGGGGATTATGGCTAATTCCAGATTTTTTTCCCCCCCACCCTTTCCCCACACAGGTTCAGATTTATGAATTGGAGGAACACAAAATAGAAACGTGGCGAGGTAAAGTAAGATAACTGAGAGAGTGAGTGTTGAAACACAGAATTTTAATGTTGAGGGCTGAGGTGATGAGTTATAATATGGATGTCGTAGGGCAGAGGAGAAAGTTGAATCCTACAATCTGTGCTTTGCAGTAAAGGGAAAAACTGGTATGAAGTTGTGGAATTCTGTGGTTGAGACTTGCCTTCTACTCGGTTGCCTTCTACTTGGATAGTTCCATTGCTTCATAATTTGCTAAGATCCTGTTATAGTCTAGGCCCATCAAAGGGTGTATTTTAAAAGAATTAAAATGCTGAAAAATTAAACAGGTTAAACTGTTCTTAATGTGCACAAACATCTGTGGAAAACTCCAGGATGTAAAAAGTTAATCAGAATTGATTTTTTCCTCCGGAAAAAAACTCAAATGCCAATGCTGTTCTTGAAGTGTACCTTGCATTACCGACCATCATCTACAAATTGGAATCCTTAAAAAGTAATAAAACTAAAGCAGACTATTCAGGCCATTGTTTGTATCAGGTTTTCTTTCTTGCTGTCACTATCTCCCTCTTTGAATGCTTCTTCGCTGCTCCGCCACTGATTTACTTTCAAATAGCCATTTCCAGTCTGTGTTTGCTCAATCGTGTTTCCATTTAGCAAAGAAAAAGGCATTGTAAACATGCTTGGAATGCTCTTCTCCTCCCACCCCTCTGCACCACTAGCAGAATCACTCTTTCCTTGAATATAGTATGATAAATGTCCCTTTAAAGAATATATTTGTTTGGATTGCTTGCTGCTCCTTGGTTTTATTAAACTCTGTACTAAACAAGATTACCCTGGAAATATAGAAGGAGCTGGGAGGGGTCAGTGCTCAGTTGTTAAAGGCACTTTATAAACTGGTGAGGTCTAAGATAGCACCACTGATTAGGGCTGCAAAGTAATTTGTGATTTAACATTTTTGCTCTTTGATTTTAGAAATGTAGATTAAACACCTGAACAATTGGTTTATTTTAGAGAAAGAGTTTGACATTTCGGACCATTGACCAACTGTCAGACCAATGACATTTCAAGTAGCAGAATCTGAAGCATCAACTCTGTTCCTTGCTCCAGAAGCTGCCTGTCTTGTGTGTGTTTTTAGCATTTTCCATTTATCATTCTGATTTCCAGCGTTTGCAGTGTTTTGCTTTTGATTTATTTCGAACTCCAAGAGCAACGGTGGAAGAGTGCCTTGTAGGTTGTACATGAATTCTGGTTACTTTGTCTGGTAATATTGTCGTGGCAGTAAGAACATAGAAGTTAACAGCAGGAAGAGGCCATTCAGCCCTTGAGTCTGCTCTGCCATTCAGTAAGATCGTGGCTAATCTGATTGTGGCCTCAACTCTACTTTCCTGTCTGCCTCCTCTCCCCATAACTCTTGACTCGCTTGCCAATCAGAAATCTGTCTCATTCAGCCTTGAATATATTCAATGCTCCAGTTTCCACTGCTTTCTGGAGAAGAATTCCAGACTAAGAATCCTCTGAGAGAAGAAATTTCTCCCCTTGCTTTTAAACTATGGCCCCTGAAGAAGCATCCTCTTAGCATCCACCCTGTGAAGCCCTTTCAAGGTCTTGTGTTTCAATAAGATTACCTCTCATTCTTCTAAACTCCACTGAGTATAGGTCCAATCTGCTCAAAGTTTCCTCCATAAGATAAATCCTTCATCCAGAAATCAGCCAAATGAACCTTCCCTGCACTGTTTCTTTAAGGAGGCCAGAACTGTACGCAGTGTTTCAAGTGTGGTCTCGCTATTGTCCTGTAATGCTCTAAATGGTCTAGCTGTCTGAGTATAAAAATTCCTTTTATTTATCATGGTTTCTTCTGACATCTATTTAGTATTGCCACTCATTGGTTTTTACTTTTTCTCTTTGTCTCATCAGAGGTTTATTTGCAAGATTCATTTAAACCATTGGTGAGCATCTCCCCAAATGCCAGGTAACTACAATGCCCTAACTTTGTGCAGCAGTGTGCTTTTAATCTGAATTGTCAGCATGAATTCCACCTGATTATTTGGTCATATTTCTGTAGAACCTGTAGTTATTTGGTCAAAAAAGTTCTGAATTGTGAACGGACTCTTGTGTAAGAGGTGCTTTATGACCTCTTGTAAGAATTCAGCTGGCAACTTTGTTCAATGACCAGCAGATTATTTTGTTGGATAAGATAAATACTTTGGAGCTTGGGGATTGAAGTTTTGCATGAAATTTTCAGATCCCAAACAACCATGAGAGCTGAAGACAGAGGCAGGCGGATGATGGGTGGGCCTAGTGGAGGGAGAGAAGGACATCAGGGAGCTAGAAATAGACACAGGCAGAAAAGGATGTGGGAGAGTATGGAGGCAGCGAAGAGAGAGACCAGGGCCTTTGGACAGGAGGGAGATGGGGCAGGGAGGGAGGCCAGGGCGCAGGAGGGAGGAGAATCGTGTGGCGAGGGGGCAGAAGCGGGAGGGCAGGGATACGGGGAGGCAGTGAGTCGTGCCGGAAGAGGGACAGAGCTGGCTGGCAACTCAGTCTGGCTGAGGATGTGGAATGGAAGGGATTGGGGAGGCAGACCTGAGACAGGAGGGAGTGG